TTGTTCAAATTGATGATAATATTTTAAACGATCAAAAAACATGGTTGATATACGAAACAATGTATATATTCTTAAATTGTTCACTCAAAATGCCAACAGAAAATGAATTTTTTGAAGAAAAAAATTGTAGAAAAGTACTAATGAATTATTTCATCAGGTTTTCAGTGAAAAAAATTGTTTACGAAAAAAATCATTAAAGATGGGAAAAAATTAATTGTTTTTTTAGAATCGTTAATGTTCAATTTACAATTGTAGTTTTTTCTCTTAGGAAAGATTTTTGACATTATTTTTGTCAAGGAAAAAATAAAATTATTTTTTTTATTTTTTTGTTTTAGTTAAATGAATAATTTTATATTTTTTTCGGGAAAAAAACAACCATAGTTATTTGGTAAATTTTTCGAAAAGTTTCTATGGTGAAATTCATTCATCATAAATAATCGATTTATGTTATCGTATTTTTTTCCGGCAATTTTTTTTTAATTTTTTTTCAGCCCGAAACCCTGTATCGATGTATTGATGTCAGTGATTTCGATATAATTTAGGCATTATTATTTAAAAAAAATTTAAACATTATCAACATGAAACCAAAATATGAAATTAAAAGCTAAATTCCAAAAATTTAAATTATTTGATTAATTTTTTTTTCAGTTATATAAATTAAGGAAAACACATACTTCAAAAGTATTTCGATAATTAATAATAGCAATACCGCCCAAATAATAACCAAAACCAATACCTTTGGTTGTTAAACGTTCATAGAATTCATTAACCTGCCATTTAATTGAAAATTCTTTCATACATAACTGTATAATCGGTAACTGTCGTTTAAATTGATGGAAATAAAAATGCATTGTTGAAGCATTTACCATGATTGCGCATAGAATATACATTTGAAATATTAAGAATATTAGATACATAAATTCCTTATTCAATGAATTAGTTTTGAATACAAGATTATATATCAACGTTATGTTCAATGGAACATTGGCCATGACTCCCATAAAGAATACATTATTCCAAACATCATGACCACTATACATTATACAATATGTCATATGTTGATGTTGT